TGTGGATGAATGAACATGTGTTTAAAGAAGAACACACACACATTAAATATTGTACTATCTCATATATAACTATGTACTAAAATCATGAAAAAAATTATAAAAGAATGAAGCAGTAATGACTGATTCCCATAACACAGCCACATACAGATCTTGTTCTACGATAGGAGCCAGATATGGTGTTATGTCTCCACCTCCAAGCTTAAAAATCTACCGCCTTGAATAGGTGAACATCTGTGAAATATAATCAACAGATGAATAGCAGAGAAAGAGAAAAAAATTAAATAAAAACAAAAACAAAAAATCATTTCTAGGTCCAATCAATTTGTTCTGAGACTCCAGGATGTAAATGGGGACAATGTGACTCCATCATTTGGCAGGACTGGGTTAAATAACCTTTTTTGCAATCCTCATGCAGTGCACAAGCGTGTTGCAAGCTTAATCCTATGACTAGATATGATTCCACACAAGCTACAATAGGGGTTCCCCCTGGTAGCGTCTGGGCTCGGGGAGACGGCCAGACACACACGAGGAATACGAGGAGGACAAATGTTCAGACAAGGAATAGCCGCGCCAGTCCTCCTCCTCCTCTTGGTCAGCCAGGGAGGAAAGCGAGGTGTAAAGCTGCTGAAATAAGGCACAGTCCGAGTCAATTTGAACACTTAGAGAGAGACTAAAAGTGGGAGAGGGAGAGAGGGAGAGAGGGAGAGAGGGAGAGAGACAAAAAAGACATAGGGATGCCATAGTGTTAGTGGATGTTATGCTCTAGGGATTGGCAGAGGAAATCAAGCAAGTTAAGTGGAAGCATGGGAGATAATGGGTTGGAGGATGGGACATTTGGGGGGAATCAGGAACATGCTAATTTCCAGAAGCACCACTGTTGGATTTTGTGGTTTTAACTTGGCATAGGAAATGACTGTAAATGCAATATCAACAAAATGCAAAGTGATTATCGACAACTTCTATTCATGCCTGAAGTCTTTCAATCTTTTCCTTCTTTAATTTCTTGAAGTCTTGCTTGGAAATTCTGGTGATACTTTTAAAACAACAGAATTCTTAGGCAAGATCAAATATCAATTCCTTCATTTTTCATAAAACAGTGATCATCCTAATACATCTTTCTTTTCAAATACTATGCCTTTGTATCAAGCCACCAGTCTTTGTTCCACACTTGGTCCTTATAAGACCCAATCAGAGAATGCTGAAAGGAAGTCCCTGGCTACTTCAGCCACACAAAGGAAAGTGCATATTTGCAACAAGAGAGGACACTGCTACCCAAATCTTGGCTGCTGAAGTTCTGGAGATTACAATGTTCAATAAGAATATGAAATAAATTTTGCAAGTATTGGAATTCCTTTGCCTGGGTTTACTTTGTCTAACTTTTATCTATCTTGTAGTATGTGAATGCATTAATAAGCTTCTAAATGCATCAGGCAACACAAGGGAAAATGGCAACATGCTTGATATTTCTTTGAGCCTTCTGTCAAGGGCAAATTTCTTCTTCATGGTTCAAACTTCAGAAGGATTTGGGCAACAAAAGGGATCATCTGAATCTCTAAAGTTTCAGTGTAGTAATAATCACAAGAAAACATCACAATAATGGCACAAAAAAACAAAAACTCAATCATGAGTGGATTATCATAAAATAAGGAATAATGAAGGACCATTAGACCTAAAACCTTCACGAGGGGTTAGGGGGATGGGCAGTAATTAGCCACTTACCTGCGTCAGCTGTTCGGTTGTGGTCAGGAGCCTCGCTAAGGGGGCGCAGCAGAGGGGTGTTGTGTCTAGCAGAGTGGGGCGACTGTTGGTCAGGAATGGCTTCATGAACCTCACGTCAAACTGCGACCAGATGCGGAAGAGCCAGGCCTTCTCATACTTGCTTGAGCTGCTGCTGGTCCCCTCGACAGGGCCTTCTCCCCCATCCTCCGCCCCAGGCCCCTAGAGGTAATGGAAAAAATTAAATATCCCAATATTAAAAATGGAGATGTCAATAATGGTCATGGTTATGATCTTAAAAATGAAAAATTGTTTTTGTTGATATTTTCATCAGAATTACTGGTCATCAGTGAATTCATTAATTTTTTTTCTCTCTTTTCCTGTGGGTGGGAGCAGGTGTAAGTGCGTTGGTTCAATTAGGTGTAAGTGTGGGGGTTCGGGTGGGTGTCAGTGTAAGGGTGAGGGTAGATGTGAGAGTAGCTATAGGTGTAAGTATAGGTGTGGGTGTAGGTGCAGGGGCAAGTCTGGGTATAGGTGTGGAGTGGAGATAGATGTAGATGTGGGAGTGAAGATGTATGTAGCCGTGGGTGTAGAGTGGGTGTAGGTGTGAGAGTGGGTGTAGGTGTGAGAGTGGGCATTGTGTGAGAGTGGGCATTGGTGTGAGAGTGGGCATTGGTGTGACAGTGGGCGTGGGCATTGTGTGAGAGTGGGCATTGGTGTGAGAGTGGGCATTGGTGTGAGAGTGGGCATTGGTGTGACAGTGGGCATTGGTGTGAGAGTGGTTGATGTGCTGTAAGCGTGTGGGTTTAGGCGTGAGGATGGATGTAGGTGACCGTAGATGTGGGGGTTTAGGGGTGTGTGTAGGTGCAGATGGGAGAGTGGGTGTAGGTGTAGGGATGGGTGTTAGGGCAAGTGTGGATATAGGTGTGAGGTGGGGAAGGGTGCAGGTGGATAGATGTGCTGTGGGTATTGGTGTGGGGATAGCCGTATTTGCATTTGCACTTTTAATAATCTAAACCAAATATATCTAGTAATGAGCATAGAAAATATCAATGATAAATTCAGTTTTAAAGTTTAGAATAGTAATGTAAAAGCTGAAACTGAAAAAGCATAAAGTAGCTTTACATATTACCACAAGTGATTTCTGTAAAAAAAAATATATATTGATTAACTATAAACACCATATACAATCCACACTGTAATCAAGGAAAAAAAAGCGAATATCTAAAGCAAAATTCCAAAAAAGAACACATGGAACTTTATCATTCTAAAAATACAGTTAGAATCAAGTGTGGTGTCCCCCCAAAAAATTACGCAAGACCAATTTTGCATAACAATGACATTTTTTCCAGGATTTTGTGGAAGCATAAGATTTCTGACAGTAACCGTACATTCAAATATATAATCCCAGCACACAATTCTCATACAGACAGAACTCTCAGATTCAGCAATAAAGAAAGTGGCCACCCTTCTACTTCCACAGTTAACCATACACAATAAAATTACTAGAAACTGAATCAAATTCATTCTGTTGATTACACAATATGTTCTCAATGCAGCAAGGAGAAACCACAGTAATCCCCATTCTGCTATGCACACAAACACCCAAACAGTGTACGTCTATTGTATGAATAAGAATAAACTTCTTTCACATTAACTTTTTCTCATATCTATATAGTCAACACTTTTCACAATCATTAATTCAAAATGTGCTTCCAATAAGAACCCTCTTTGAGGAAGACTCCCTAACGACTCTATTTTTTGCCAAAAATATGAGATGAGAAAGAAAAAAATACAAAATGGAGAAAGAAAATCAGAAAAGTAGAAAATGCAGGGAAAAAAATGAAACACAGAGGATGAAGACATCCATATCATCAACCAGAACTATCATGCCTTTGGCAATAGTACAAGTGTAATTGTATGATCATTGGAAAATTAAGAGTAAAAAGATAAAATTAATGATTCATGATTAATTCACTGCCAACACTTTTTCTCCTTTTCAATAAATATAAAAGTCTATGGTTTGACTGCATACTTTTTAAGCTTCAGTTTCCAATCAAGTTGTGTGATTGTTCAGTGCCATTCCTAACGTTCAAGATATAAGAGGATTGTTCTACTCTATCTAGTCATCTTATTTATTCATTCTTCCTTTTCAAGGCTATGAAGTAAATCAGCTTTTTGAAGTGATCAGTACACTGAATCTCAATAGATGTTTCCACCTTTCACAGTTGAAGGCTTAAAGTATATTCTAAAATATTTTCATAAAATGTATATATAAAAGGGAAAATGACCTTCCAATATAATAATATAAACCCCATTAATGAATGTAAAAGAAAGATACTATTAGGACACTCAAAATATTGCTTCAAATATTCATGTGAAAATATTTGCTTGCATGCTAACCCCTTGATGGTGGGCTTGAGAGCAATGCATCTCTCATAGGCAAGCACATTTTTGACAATTCCCATTGATCAAAAACCTTGTTTTCCATTATAAAACCAGTTGGTAATGGCAAGAAAAATGAAAATACAAGAAGAAAGTTCAGATTACAGGCAATTATAAAAAGCCATATAAGGCTAAGGTCACAATTAAGTCACACTTTTATTCATCGAGGTCAATAGGCACATGATATGCATACATGGAACGTGACCGAAAAAAAAAAAAAACTCAAACTGGAATATAATGCCAAATGCCTGTGTCCAGACAAACATAGCCTTCTGTCTCCAATAACAGAGTGAATCAGGCTTTGTGCTTACCCCACATTCACGGCTGTCCCGCCATCTTCACCAGACCTTGCCAGAAACACACTGGCTCTAGGTGGTATGACAAAAACTGGGCCATTGTGCACAAGACTGCCCTATGTTGAGCATGCTAAACAGCTGTGTCCTTCTACCTTTGATCACAGCCATACTCAAAGACAGCAGCGAAGAGATATGGTTCATGAGCTCCATATTTCTGGCATATGCAGCTGACTGTTAGCAGTACCTGGTCCAGTTTGTCATGCATGCTTCTCTAAGGGGCAGCGGTGAGTAATGCAACAATCGCACGTGTGTGTGTGAACTACGTGTCAGCTTGAAACATATTTGAGCATTTGCTGCCATCAAACATTACATAATACATGTTCAGAGCATCTTCTGTTACATGTTTCTAGAAAGTTCTGCCATATTTGTAAAACATTTTGGCAAAGTTTCAAACAATGTTTGGAAGTAAGTGTGCCCAGCCTTTTAAAGGATCAAATAACAAATATTTGCTTGACTGTCAGCCACTTTAAAATACATATTCACAAACCATCTGCAACTTATATCTATTAGTGCAAAGTACCTATCAAGGTAACCATGCAAGAGTTGTTGCTTCTTCTGAGTCCACTTACTCTTCTAAAAACAAATAATAAATGCCTTTTTATATTGATTAGGCAGAAAACTCATTATCTCTAGTGATACTTTTTTCTTTCTCATTTTATATCTAATCTATTTTTCTGCATGCATATGAAATCCATCACATTTACCAACCTGTAACTATATATGAAAAAAAGATTACAAACCATAAAACGATGGACAAACTGTCTTTCATTATAATTCAAATTTTCTTATGCACTTCATTACGTCCATTAACCATGAAACTTCTTGCTATTTGAGTCATAACACCCCTTACCTGCCAACAGCACAGCACTAATTTCCTTTTCTTTCTTTACCAATATTCCTATTAACCTAACATCGCCATGTTTTCTCTCATAAACAACAAATCAGAACAAAATTTGCAAGCCATCCAGTCACTGACAGAAGTTCTGAGTCTCAACTGCATCCAGGACTGTAGATCTCAGGCCAAGCACTTATTCTTGCTTTATCTCTGTTGGTCTGTTCCTCTTACAAGCAGATTCACGAGGCGCGGTCCCCCTTCTTCATCAGGAGTGACGTGGAACTTCTGTTTAAGTCCCCCTTAAAAAAATTGAGAATCGTTGTCCCTGAAGACAGCTCGTGGTGGGTGAAGCTGTTGTCACATAAGCAATATTTACAGTGACAGATTTGGAGTGTTACAGCATGATTAGTAATAAAAGCAGTAACTGTGGGGCAGACTTTCTTCATTTTCATTTTTTTTTTTTTTTTTACTGGTTGTGTAAGTAGCTTTCTCAATTTTCTCAGCATGTATTTGCAATCTTGGCTATGTACAAAGTTCATATAAAATAAAATAATAGTCATAAGATGCATACACTAATAGCATAAAGATAAGATGCATGGTAATGGCATTATTGTTCTTTGTTACAAGCAATTCCTTAGCAGCATTACGTTCTGATCTGAGGAAGGAGCATTATAAAGAAAATAATAAACGAAAATAATAATATATAAAAAATATATATAAATAGTCTTTTATATAATCCTGAGATTTCTAGTAGTGCTATTATCTTGCACTACAAGGAAAATTAATATCAGCATTCACAATCAATGCTATACAACAAAACAAATCATAAGCATTTACAAATACATACAGTAATGAAAATGTGTTAATATATAATACCTGTGTTAATAACTCTATGGCATTAGCAACAGACGACCTATTACATAATGAATCCACATCCTGACTGCTGGGATGAGGTCTTGCAAGCCTGAATAACTAGGACAAATAGCTAGGTCTGAAGGACTGCACACTAATTTATACCCCTTCTCTATCAATTTTTTTTCTTTTTTTTTGTCATTATTGCCTCCAAAGGTTTAATCCTGAGGAAAATATCTGGGTTTAAAATCTAGTCTAGTAGAGCAAATTGTTAAATTCGCAGAGCAATGTTTGACCCACTGAAGATAGGTGATGCAACTGTGAATAATCACTGATGAAGGGTGATGCCTTATCATATCACGAGTTAATCGCTCAAATTCAGAGACACTAGTGACACCTTAAATAGAGAACCAGATTGGCCTCTCATGCCCGTCGGCCAATCACTGTTGGCTCCGGCATGCGAAAGCTCAACATGATTGGCTGGCAGGCACAAGATGCTGGTCCAGCTCTCTGTTTAAGGTGTCCAAAGTGTCTCTAAATATGAGTGAATATCCCAGTCTGCAGTGAGATCTCATGTGCACTATTGCAAGCCAGACAATCATCCAAGCATTGAGATGAGCAAAGTAAAGAATACCTGTCATTGCTTAACTTTACTGAACGCCATTACTGGGTTAGCAAATAATGGTATTGCCAGACAAGGAGAATGTTATCTTACTGCATCTTGTACAAAGAAAAAATACTAAAATTTATCTATGTTAGAGTATCATCAAAGTCAAGAAAGGATTCTATTCATGATTTATAATCTGTCAACAATGGAACAATAGAGCTACACCTACTTTCCTTAGCCTTGGTATTCCTACTCATGCGATTGTACCACTCCTACAAATATATACAATTCACACTTAATGATCATACACATTAGAAATGGCTCTGGTATTTCCAGTTATGAAAGGCTAAACAGAATTAAGATGCAGTATCACAACATCCACCAATTTCCTTTTTTAACCATTACCAGTTTAGCTTTCTAAAAAATCAGATCAAATCTATCTATCATGTTATACCTAATGTTATCATAACACTGAAAATGTGTCAGTTAATTCTGAAAGCACAGGAGAGAAAATGTCAGTACTAATGCAACATAATGAAAACAACCATGAAGACTACTGATGTTACTCTTTTTAAGATACGATCCAATATCATACATGGATTTCTGAGAGAGAGAGAGAGAGAGAGAGTGAGGAAGTTATGAAACTGGAACGCAGGTTTAATTTCCTCCATCAGATAGTTTAGCAGTGAGTGAGGTTTAGTGGCCGAGTGGGAAATTAGAAGACTGCCATATTAGAAATATTTAAAGAGTACCCAAATTTCATGAAAAAAATAATAATTAAAAAAAAAATAATAATAATCACCAAAAGCCTCCCACCCTGATTTTTCAACATCTGCTTCATAATTGTGCAGTAATGAGTAAATCATTTCATACAAAACATTCACAATTCTAATACTAAAATATCTTTGATCAGAGATCTACACAGCATTCCGATGCCTGTTCAACATCTTCCATAAAAGGAATGATATACAAGCAATGAATGCACTGAAGGGGAGGGGGGGAAACACCAATAAAGAAAAAAATGAAACCTCAGCTCTGACACCATTAACTGTTAAAGAAACGATGTTCATATAGCAATCACGAGACTTTTTTTTCATCTATGCTACAACACATAGGGAGTAAACAATGTAGCAAACACAGACACCATGTTCTTTTATTTTTTTTCTTTCTTTCTTCTTTTTTGGAGGGGTAAGGATGGAATACTGTGCTCCATTTGGGTCTAAGACTTAGTAACAGTTTTCTTGTTATCTTTGCAAAGAAAAGATTACAGAAACATCAAGAAAAAAATATATATAAACACACAAATAAAAGGGGAAAAGGGGAAAAGAAGACGACCAAATTTATAAATAACCAAGTTCCCTTTTTTTGTCTCGAAAACAAAGAAAACACGAACGAAAAAAATAGATACTCCATACGTGGCACCTTTTGGATCTGGCACACACACAAAAAATTGCAACTCTACAATTAGATAAAAAATTAATAAATAAAGAAATAGTAATAACACTCTAAAAAACAAGTGCTTTTATCTTAAAAAGAACCAATGACAATGTCCTCAATATGTCACTGCCAAAAATCTGTAATATTAGCTTCATGTATGTCAAACCGAATATCATGTAAGTTGGGTATTGTAGTGAACTTTCATCTAACTAACATATGATCATGCTTCGCTGCAACTTAAGCTAAATACACTGTCGGGTGATAAAGAAATGGTGAAATAAGAGCCAACGTAACATACATATAAGCACCATGGACAAGCACAAATACACAAAAACAAATTATAGAAAAAAAAATAATAATAAATAAAAATAAACAGCTTGTACACAAGGGAAAGAATAAGCTTTGTGAAACTAAACTGAAGAAATAAAAAATAAATACTCGAGATGGGCTTACATAGTCGGGGATGTCTACTTACTACGAGCCATTCCCCATGCAAGGGACAAAGAAATAAAAACAAAAAGATTGGTTACGTACCCTGCCTTCGTCAATGCTTTTGTAATCCTGAAACATCAAAACAAAACACGTTTTGATGGACTTCTTAATTGTAAAAACTCATATAGAAAAACAATGAATATGTAAAGTACTTAATAAGCTGCCATAAAAAAGAAAGAAAAAAAAAAGAAAAAAAAAAAAGAAAAAAGGGAGAGAGAGAGAGAAAAGTAATCTATATATCATGAAACTTCTTATCTAGACAAATACACTCTTTATTCTACACATACACCTGCAAAGAGAAGTGTGCTTAAGTACTACAAACCAGTGCCAACCAAACCTTACTGTGCTGCGTCCAATGCGGATGGATATTTATACTAAAGCAATGCCGGCTACCTTCCTGCCTTACTGAAAATCTCAATACAGGGTGTGAGTGTCTTGTGAAATGAGAAAGATGTGCCACGCAGGGAGCATTTCAGTGACTGACACTGTCATTGGCCAGAAGAAAACAAAGGGGAAACAGAGACTGAAGGAAACACAACGGATTGAAAGTACATATGAAAGAAAACGTAATAACAATGAATAACTGAGAAAAAAAGGGGAAGTAGCTAAGTAAGAAAAAAAAAAAAAAATAAATAATAATAATGAATCAATATATAAAAACACCAAGTTTTGCCTGGCATTAATAAAGAAAAAGAAAAAAAATGCACTCTTGGCATTTACAAAATTTAAGGTCCTTATCACAATAAAAATTAAGTATATAATGATTCACAACAATTTTGGAGACACACTTCTTTCAAATGCTTTGACTACCTCTAATAATTTTCAGAAATCAACATCTATTTTTGTTCTTCTTATATATTTTCTTCTTAAGTTAAGAATCCGACACATTATCCAAAAAAAGAAAAGAAAAAAAATAATGCTATATATATGTGCTTACAATGGTCCTATACTACGTAGCAAAAACCAGGTCAATTCGCAGACGATTCTTGAAGAACGTAGGGCGAATGCATGGTATATCAATATTGGTGGCTTACCATCTATTGCAACGCCACATAACTGCATAACATCGGAACGCATAAAACAAATTCCAAACCTTGGGTGGCAAATTTTGTAACTCCTCCCTAACCCTCTCACATGCAGTGATAAACAAGGAAAGATACCCATGCAAATATCATTGGTGCTTCTCTGAGCCACTGCGGTAATATGCAATTGCATCTTAAAGTTCGAGGCCACAGGGATTTTTCATGCATGTTTGTGAGAGGGTTAAGCTTGCTCAACTTATTGTCTATGGAAAAAAAAAAAAAAAAAAAAAAAAAGAGAATTTTAAAAATCATATAAAATAAAGTAAAATTAACAAACAAAGGACATAAATCTGAAGCATTCTAGACTTTCATAATTCCTACTTACATTTCTGATTGGCTGGAACGATGTGTTTAGGTGGTGGGTCTCATCATCCTCCACATCAACCCTAAAAATAAAACGAGAATGGGATAATAAATGTCCTTTCGTTGACACAGCAATAACCCAACTTCCATATATATTGGATCTGCTTCCCGACTCCATATAATTTCCACTGGGAGTGAAACATGACCACTCTTGCAACTCAACTCCAAAACATCTACTGAAGCAAGCCACACATTTCAAAAACATTAGTATTTGTCTGGAGTTACTGGAGTTACACACTCTCATAACTGACACACAAAATTATCTGGCAAATCAAAAATCTGGAAATGCAAAGCAATATTGGTATGCTGCTGCTAGTACATACAAGCCATTTCCAACAAATGTAACATCCACTTTTTAATTTTCTATTTTTTTTTATCAATACACCTAATTTGCTGAAAGCCACACACTAGTTCACAGGCATTGTATTTTTTCACCAAAATCTGTCTTTTTCTTTTCTGTAGGCTTACCCTTCACAGCATCAATATACCAGCTTCATTTTCTGTCAAAAGATTGGTAGAGGAATGATGATACAGAATCAAATAACAGCAAATATGTGTTCATATAAACTATAACCAGCAGACATATTCTTTTGCTGCATTTGACTTCCCTTTCCACTGTTGTATTAACAAGAAAACATACTACACAATTAGGTAAAAATTTGTTTGATATCTATTATTTCTTATTGTAAGTGGATCTAATGATTGTTAATTGCAAATTTCATTCCTCTTTCCAGAATTTGAGTGCATACTTGAAGCTTTTCACGGATAGTTTGAACTATGACTGTGTAAGTCAACTGGGGCAGTCTTCTGTTCCCATTTTCAAGTAACATAAGGATTAAATTTTTGATTAAAAACATTTTATATACATTAATAAGCTATTTCTCTAAATAGATTAATGAATAAGTAGTCTTCCATATATGAGCTACTACTTAGCCTTAAAAGTTTTCCAAACAAACAATTTCCAAAACTAAGAATTTTGTAAGAAATCCATCCCAGCAATCTCACTTCATGCTTACTTGAAATATCTTGTTTACTCTCCATTCTAAAAGTGCAATGCCATTCATATAATATGCACTACTACCAGTTCTTACTAATCCTAGATGGTTAATGCAAAAAATGGCTAGCAGTCATCGAACTATGCACACATTGTCTTCCCTTTTTTCAATCTAGTACTACACTGAGAAGTGCCAAAAGAGGTCTTTACCTGACTGAAAGTATGCCCAGTGACTTTGTCCATGATATTAAGAGATAATAAACATGATTCAGGTAACCTAGTCAAATATCCACAACTAAAAAAAAAAAAAAAAAGATTTATTCACTATATATCAACAACTAAAAAAAATTCACTATATATCAGTCAATGCATAGACCAAATTTCAGACACAGATATTATACACATCTGGTTGTGCAATATATAAGTAGGAATAAGGTCCACTGCAGCTGACAAGAGGCACTGGGTAGTAGTAGCAAGATGTGAAAGTGACACAAGAGAAGATGAGTGAGAACTGAGGAGAGGAGACAGAAAAAAAGAAAGAAGAGGAGAAAAGAAAAAAGAGACAAAAAGAGAAGAGAAGGGTGAGCACAGAAAAGTGTGAGTTTTAAATATTACACAAAATAGGAAAAATACAGTGAAAGAGAAAAGACAAAGAAGAGAGAATCAAAGATAATAACACAACATTACTACACCAGCAATATCTACTAAAAAAAAAAGCACCACTAAAAAACATTTTTCAACTCACGGTATCCCAAGCCATGAGAGGACCTGGGTGGTGAGGCCGCCGCATAATATAACAGTTACTATGACTATCAGCGACGTCGTGGTTAGGATGGCCTTCCGTGCAGTGCTGCTGGTGTTGCGAATGGCAAGTGCAAAGGCTATTGCTCCTCTGAGACCTACATTGGTGGTGATAAGAAAAGAAAATAATAAAAAATTAGGAAAATTTGTTTACATAAATGATGCCAATATTTTTTTTTCCTCTCTGGGCTAAGTTTGACACTGAAAAAGTAAAAACAATGCTAAATAAAAAACATAAAATTATCATACACCTGACAACGAGAATTACCATAATCATAACAGCAAAGAGAAAAAAAATAATAAATAAAGAATACCCAGGAACTGACAAAACTTCAGGTTTAAACTGCTTCCACAGAAAAACTGTCCATTTCCCTCACCCGAGAAGAACAACATGTTCATGAAGTTGATGGGGATCTTCGGAGTCCGACCGAGGTTCAGCAGGAAGGAAAGAGGGTAGACGCACATGAAGCGCCCTGCGATGATGGCTACAAAGGCAATGGAGATGAATCCCACATCCCACTTGTGGTGGTCAAAGGTGAACATAGAAACCCCGATGTATGAGAAGATAAAGTTTTCTGAGAGGAAATTGAGGAGTTCGAACAGTGTCTTGGTAGCAACGCGACTCTCCGCAGAGAGGTTGTTGTAGGTGTAGTGGGCTTGGCAGATTCCACAGAAGAGCACAGCCACAATACCTGGAAAGTTTGGGTGTAATATTTAGTATTTCACTTCTTCTATTTATGCCAACTAGATCCAGTGCTGCAATATATTTATGTATCTTTTTGTACAATAAAAATATTATAAAATAATCTGCTATTAACGCACTAAGAAAATAATCATAACAAACTGTCATTCTACGATACATCCATAAAGGAATGTGTCTGTCCTTCTCATACCAGGCCATTCCCCACTCTAAGTTAACACAAGTAGTTAGAGTCAGAAGCCCCTGAGTCATATATAAGGAGTGTCTGGGGAGGCAAAGGGGGGGGGGGGGGGTCAGCCTTGAGAAGACCCCACTTTTGACTCAGTAGACCTAAAGTGATGATGGCAAAAATACATTGACTTCTTGTCTTCTCACTGGGATTTATTTAAATTGATCATATGAAAAAAAATTACACTTTGATAAACATTTTTTAACATTTTTGTAACAATCCTGATACATCTCATAATTTTGGGAGATTTAAAAAGTCCATGATTTTATGGGTCTCACTATAGCAAAAAGATATCCCAGAGAATTAGTACTAGATATTATGACATTTCTCCATCAATAACATCCAGTCAAAAACTGCCCAAATACCCCTAAACCCCCATACCCTAACCCTGACCCCTGCTAAACAAGGCCCTGACCCTCCCCATCTTCCTCTTTTAACCCCTTACCTGTCAAGTCCGCTGCCTCTGCCATGAGGAAGGTAGAGTACGACATGAGGACAAAGAGCGCCGTCTCCAGCAGCGGGAAGTCCTTGAGGCGTGTGAACTTGGTGAGGATGGCGGTGAGGCAGCCCATGACTGAGCCGATGAGGAATGACATGCTGAAGATCCACAGGAAATTGAGGATGGCCAGGAAGAAGGCTGACGTCTCAAAGCCTCCGCTGGCACTGCCATAACTTTCAATGGCACTGGTGACAAAAAAGAGCAAGAAAAAATAAGTATGGAAGCAGTGGGGAAAAACAATTTAAAAAAAAGGAGAAGAAGGCAGCAACAGACAAGAGGCAAAATCATTTAAAGAAAATACAAAAAAATACAAGAGGTTTGGGAGGAAAGGAAGACACTGAAAAAAGGGGAAGTAAAGGAAATAAGGAGAAAATGGAGAAAAAATAGTAAAGACGGAAAAAAATGGAAAATGAATTAAAATATGAATTTAAAAAATCCTTTAAAAAGAGAAATCACAATGTACAAAATATACACAAACCTCCCACCTGACCTTTGAAAAAATAATAATTATAACAATAATAATAATAAAAATACCAATAATAACCATATTAACACATAAAGCAGATGCTCACCTAGACAAGACAATGGCAACTGCATCGTTGAGAACCGACTCTCCGAACACTAGGGCATAGAGATTGACATCCACGTGGAGGTCCGAGAAGATGGCCAACACAGTGACTGGGTCAGTGGCGGAGATGAGAGCGCCGAATAAAAGGCAGTCGATGAATGAGAAGCTTGAGCTCAACAGCCATAAGAAGCCATACACTAAGCCGCTGAAACAAGGGAAAACCATAGAGGTGTGAGGAGTTAATGTAATACCTTACTTAAAGATAGTTTTGTGCTCCTGAAATCCTTTTTGAGATGGTAGAATAATTTGTTGAAACCGAGTGTTGTGTATCACTTACACATGTATTCTATTATCATAAAAAATGATAATAATACAATTTATATAAGTATATATATATATATATATATATATATATATATATATATATATATATATATATATATATATATATATATATATATATATATAAATATAAATATACTATATATATATATATATATATAATATATATATATATATATATATATATATATATATATATATATATATATATATATATATATATATATATATATATATATATAAGTATATATATAAAATTAATAATGACAATAATAATAAATAATGCAAAAAAAAAACAATAAATAAATAAAAATTCTATTAACACATTCATAAATAAATACAAGGATAAAAAGACTGTCAAAGATTGGGGTTAAATAGGTGGAGACATACGGCAACGACTTACCCAACTACAAAAGTTGATATGGTTGTCCCCAGAAAGGCAAATGTGAAAATGGCACCCAGGTTCTTGAAGAAATGTCTCTGGATGGAAGAGAAAGAAAGAGTAATAATGAGAGTCAATTAGAATAAGAATAAGAGGTAATGATGGAATAAGTTAAGGTGAAATGCAAAAAGATTCATAAAAAATATGACATTTCACCAGCATCTACTGTCAAACTCAAAGGAACTCTCCAAACATAATGCATTATATACATGTATAACAAAAACAACATCTGTGCTAAATAACTGATGAATCATAGTATTTGCAAGAGCAAATAAGCTTGTCAATTATACAATTTATAAAGTCTTTAAAAAGTAATCCCTTTGGATAGCTTTAATCAAAAGTGGTGACAAAAGAAACTAGTTAACAGAGCATCTTAACTACTTTACAGAATCCATTGCTACAGAAAAAAAAAAAAAAAAAAAAAAAAAAACATAACAGAGTCGTTTTCTCTTCTGTTTCACACATACCCTCTTGAGACTGTAGCCAGCACTGAAGATAATGGGAGGCAGCAAGATGTTAAAGAAGATTTCAGGATCAAAAGTTGCCTGAAAGGAAGACAAAATTCAGTACGTCTGGATGAATACCTTAAGGAAGAGACGGCGACTACGTGCAAAGGAAGCATGGAAACATACACTCAAGAAAATCTTTGAACCATAAAATTTGGCTAAAGTAACCAATATACTATTCTAGTATATGAAGCATAATCATACTGAGTGGAAGAAGCATGAACATACATTCAACATAACTCAGTCCTATATAAAGCTCAAATATGGATCTTTTATAAAACAACCTTCATCCTAAAATATAAATCCCTCTCAGGTACCTAGATGCCAATGTAAACCTAAAACCTAAATATAAACTAAACTGATAGTATTTTTCCTTGCTTAGTAAACAGACTAACAAACTTACCTTCTGAACAATCTCATCTTCTAGGCTTTCAGGAATCTCTCCCCTGAATGAATATGCATATGTTCTGTTCTGGCTGGCATTTATATTACCTGAAAAAGAGTAAATGACATGTATTCATGATTTTGAGCTCTTCTTGGAACAAACATCGAAGAAAAAATATATCTAAATCAATTTTCTAACCAACTGGTTCTTATTAACAAAAGGGGTTCATTCTGGTGTACAATAAAAATAATGACCAATAAATAATCAAACTCTTTGATCCGGGTGATGTGACTGTTCTGTCATGGAAAAATCTGGGTCAAGGGCTGGATGACATGAACATGCTGTCATCAGAGAAAATGGCCATGGGCCCGGTGACACAAACTTGCCGTCATAAGTGAAGGCCTGGATGAAGGAAAGGACTCATCAAGAGTACAGAAACCTCTTGGAGTATGACTAGACTTATCTGGCATTTAGAAGGTGGATTTTGCATTAATCCCATCAAATAAATGAATGTGGAATGTAATGTGCGTAAGCCGGCTCCAGGGAGAATGCCATTTCCAAGCTCAGCATCATATTCTAGGCCATTGTGACCGGCGATACAGATTGTATTACAGAAAATTGAAAATTACAAAAAAAATAGGATATATGACACAAAAATCCTTTTTTTTTTTTTCTTACTCTGAGTTATTTACTACATAGAGAGATGGAGTATGTGCAAAGAAAATAATCTATTACCATCAGGATAAATCAAATCAAAAGACAAATATTCACAGAGGAAAATGGCAAAACAGCCAAAAATGTTTACGCAAAATAACTTTGCAATGCAGAGGCACAAAGTCACGAGTGTTTGCACATGCCCAGCCTATGCACCACACACCCAGGATAAGGGACACATACAAAACCCACAGCCTGCATTTTCTGCCATGTCATTGCCATGATGCAACTGGAACCAACAGGTTAATAATGACAATAATAACAATAAGAAGTAGAAGAAGAAAACTGATAATAACAACATTCACATCTTTGAATATTTACCTGCATGTATATGTATCAAAAAAATTGGAAGACAGCCTAAAAAGATTTTAGTAGTAAAAGCAAACTTGTTACAAAGAAATATGTGTCTATCCAATGCGTTGTAGTCCTGATTGAGGTTTTGGTGAGTAGTCCTTAAACCTCTAGGCTAGATGCAACTCTTGGGGTTGAAAAATCCTCATCTTAAATTTGATTTAGGGAATGTTCCTAAACCAGCCTTTATAATATATATATTTTTTTTAGATTATTCCATAAGGTATTATGAAAAAACAAAGGAATGGTGGTAGTTTATCTGTGTAAAATAAAGGCAATTTTCCTCTGAAAAATTCCATCAAATGTGTTTCTTAATCAATGAATAAAGCTTTCCTAAATTTTGGAAACAAACTGTATAGAATGAGTGAGTGAAGTCTGAGTAACAACCTTTATTTACTTTTTGATATTCTATGATACATTTCCCTCATGATCAACAGTAAATGCTTAAACAGAAAGAGAGGGGAAAATAGAGTAATAACGAGCACTTGTCTCACCCACACTACCTCTTCCACCTTCTTCTTTCCCTCTGTCCTTCCCATCTCCCTCCACCTCACAATTTACCCTTTCCTGATTTCATGCTGACAAATGTAGAAAAGGTATGAATGAGAATGATTACCTTCACAATACAAATGACGTATTTGACCAGTTTCAAATACATCTTCGTCAGAAATACTTGTATATCTGAGGCAGATATATTCAAAACTGGTCAAATACATCTCCTGTATTGTGAAGATATTCATTCTCATTCATACTTTTTCTACATTACTCTTTTCCCTACACCTTTCTCAGGCACACAAAAAGGAATTAGATAACAGTGATGAACGAAATATCTACATGTACGAAAATGCACGAGTTTATGCTAGTAAAAAAGACCTGCATTTTTTTACTGGGCTTAAGTTATTTATACAATTGCCCGCATAGTGAAAAGATGATTTTTAATCTTGAAAGATTCTCTTTACATGATTACAGTGTTGTAGTTGTCATAATCAAGACATTCTGGGTCACTATTTTCTCATGACCATGACTTGAAAAGTTTCACACATCACTGAATGGTGCTGCTCATCCACTCTGTCCACTCTGAATAATATATGTAATATATCTTGTATTCACTGTACATCTGTTATCTATATGCATATAAAACAGAAAACAATGGTAAGTAGACGTGAAATACAGTTTATTCCAATCTCCCTTTGAAGATAATTAGCTATTTGTGATCAGCAACCTAGATCATGGTCTTGGCATCAATGGAACATCTTGAAATGGCAAACAGATAAACTATGTACAAATATAGCAACCACAACCAAAACATCTAATCCATACACCATAAAACAAAAGCCTAAAAAATAAATAAAAATAATAGTGATAATATTAATACGCAGTACTTTTTCACACGGTTCTCACCTCCGTACTTCAACCAGAGGGTATCTGGGGGAGCATCCCCATGGTAGGTCTGTGGCTCTTTGGGGTCAACCACCATGTGGCTGACAGGGGTGTTGTCCCCGCTGTACCTCAAGATGGCTCCAACTATCAAACCTGGGGAAGGAAAAACAATTTGAAGCAAACATCAGGATTGGTTACTGAGTAATGGATACTGATATTCTATATGTCTGAAACTATTTATAAAAAAAAAAAAAATCACAATCATGAGCCACAATAATGACAATACACAGGTAGGTTATGGGAAAGTGCCCCTCTGGGAAGAACCTGCTGAGGTAAAACAACTAAATTCATTAAATTACAGCACAAAGAAGGAGGAGCATGCATTTATCTGTCTCCATGTTAAATGATATAGTCACTGAAAGCTGGGAGGATAGTAAGACTTTTGTTCGCAATATGTAACATTCATTATATATTCAGCCTTAAATTATCTTGAAAAGTGGAAAGGTAATTCCACATATTTATAGGTCTATATCATGACTCACACTACAGATGATTTCCCCATCTCAGAGTTAACTAACAGCTTGAGTTTACTGATCATCATCAGTGTCTGCATCAATGCCTTCAAGATATAGTAAGTCTAGATACCAAGGAGAACAAATAATTTGCTAGGAAGAAATAGGTATACCACAATATTGGGCATCTGAAAGGCATCATTTTCTAGCTGCATTTATCTAGATGAGCAGCCGGGCAGTAAAAATAATGACTGGGAGGGGTTAGGCAAATATGACTGGAAGGGAGTCCAAAAACAGAATCCATACTGTATATACAGCAATCCATTGCAGAATAAATACTGCATTTTGATGTAAATTCAGTCACCAACCTTTCAAAACCAAACCTTGGCCAACAATTCATATTCTTCAACTCTCTTTAGCCAAAGGGAAAATCACCGTTACAATTTCACTAGTACCAACCCCTTTACTTTCATGTCCACCACTCAGCACTGCCCCATACTGGTACTGGGCTGTTTTGGCTACAGGCACCAACCTGGCAGTTTGCACATTGGCAACACTGAGAGGTGAATGGAAGGGACTGTAGCTGCATATAGGATGACAGTATCAAATTCCTTCAGACACACTTATAGGGTAGTGTTTCCTGTAACGATTTCTGGCCGGATAAAACTCATTAAAAGGTAAATACTGGTGAAGGAAGATGAGCAGCATTTGCTAAAGTTTATGCTATGCTGGGAGGAGGGGTATGTTATGGGAGAGGGGCACAATGATTGTTAATCAATTTAGTGGCAGAGTTTGGGTATTTACATTGCAACTGAGTACAGCCATCTGTTGTGGCTAACAGGGATTTGCAACTTTAATCAGTGAGGAACAGTCTTTATAATTTGTTTATAAAACACACACGCACACATACATCTTGAATAAAAATTTGAATGACTGTGCACAAGACCACCAATCGATATACATATGTTATATAAAACTTGTACAATCAGTAAGTATGTGTGTGTGCCTGTGTGTGTATGCGTGTGTCCTGTGTGTGTGTGTGTGTGTGTGTGTGTGTGTGTGTGTGTGTGTGTGTGTGTGTGTGTGTGTGTGTGTGTGTGTGTGTGTGTGTGTGTGTGTGTGTGTCTGTGTGTGTGTGTGTGTGTGTCTGTGTATGTGTCTGCATGTGTGTGTGTCTGTGTGTGTGTCGTGTGTGTGTGTCTGTCTGTGTGTGTGTGTGTGTGTGTGTGTGTGCAGTGTGTGTCTGTGTGTGTGCTGTGCGTGTGTGTGTGTGCGTGTGTGTGTGTGTGTGTGTGGGGGGGGGGGGGGTTGTGTGTATGTGTGAGCATGCTAACATTTCTTATAAACAAATTATATCTTAATTGAAAATTATCCACAGAGGATTACCTATAGCAGTAACTTTACAAACAACAATGACAATAATAATAAATAAGATAACAGCAATAATAATTGTAATAATAATCCCCAAAATCATAACTATCATCATATCAAAAATAAAACAAAAATACTAACAATAGTAACATCAACAACAATGATAATACTAACCAAAGTAATTTCACAAGAAAGAATATGCAATAAAAAGGAAGGAAGAAAAAAGAAGAAACAAAAATGAAAGAAGAAAGAAAATGCAGACAAGGAAAAAGAAAAGAAGAGGATATATCGACAATAACAATAGAATTCTTTCATTTCCTATACTATATACATCTATATAAACTGTAGGCACCTCTGTAGATCTCAAAGAGTCAGTCTGCTACAAACAAATGTTAACATACTGTACAGATCTAACGTCCTTTACCTATTATTGTTTGTATTACTTTCAATGCAAATAAAGTTCCATGCAAATCCTATTTAGTTTCGTTTGGAACCATTAACTCCACTGCAATCTCCTGATGCTTGCTTCTCATGAGACAGTTCCTGATAAGAGAGCGCCTCCACTTTGGCTGACATAATCTGATAAATGCCCAAGATTTCACGATAAGATATCATCACTGATAAGAGGGTGAGAATATCAATTTGAAGTATATCCTTTAAGTGTAAATTAAATACACATATATTAAAGTACTACATAACTAAGCCTGTAAAATGTCAAAAATATAAATGATTTAAACACAAATAATGATGAAACTTGTAACATTTTTTAAGAATAGTTTCCTATTCTTCCCAGCCACAAAAACAAGGAAAACAGGTGTGGTGAATCATTCACACTTCCAGCCCAGGCCAACAAGGTTTTTTTTCCTAGATCTTCATTTTAGTGTTATATTCAATAACTAAATGAAGCATTTAGACCATACAAACTTAGATATTACATATCTCATATCAAAAGGTCTATAAGGTGAACATTGCAAGTGAAAATAAATTATTTCCTACACACTACTGAAGGATATAAATTTCTCACACCTTAAAGTTTTGCTTCAGCCCAGATAAACTTGAAACTAGATTTATCTTACTAATGAACACATCTTCCGGTTACTTTTAAAAAACAGGTCCCCAATATCTATCCTATCCCTATGGAACTGATTCTGGCTCTGTTACAAGGGTGTACCACAGCCAGCACACTCCAGCACCATGTAAGTCTTTGAAACAAAAGTTGAACAATTTCCTAGGGGAAGCCTTTGAGTTCTATCTCGCCAAATAAGAGATCACTTGGCATTTGCTTGAGCACCGACAGGTATGGAGACCGTGGGAAGTGCTTAATATAGCGCCACTCTAATTAAGAAGAGTAATGTACCTGTAGATGGTATTCAAGAACTGCAATTATCATAAGGAAACACTAAACATCATATGCACCCTAACAATAGCAATTCAGTTAGTGATGAATCTACTTGTACCTGAATCTTTAAGAGACCATATAAATAATTCAAATACAAATTCAAGGAGTCTACAATCCAATCCAGTATATATCAAGATATTTTCCATGCCTATAATACTACATACTTTGAGCAACCAGGGAAATAATCGTAAGTTTAAACCTCCATTATAGCGCAAGAAAGGCACTGCCTTTAGAGCTCCAGCAAAGGCTAACATATAAAGGACAGAGCTTGGGCTGTTTGATAAAATTGATAAAATGAAAGGGAAAACTACAAACGAAACAGATAATTCTTATGATCATAATGATGACAAGTTGGTCCATTTTTTCATCATTTTCACTAATTTCTCATGTTAGATAATTCTAACATTTGTAATTTGAGTCATTTTTGCCATGCAAGAAAAAAAAGTCTTTGAATTCAACAATCTATTGAGGTCATGCACTGCTTATCTAGTATTATACATATCAAAAGACTGTAATTCATAATCAATATGCAATTAACTACACATGTCGCTGTCAGTCCTAAAATAATTATTTAGTGTGATTTCAGAATGAAGTACCTGTTTCTCCAATAAATCAGTTTAGCATTTAAATCTACCTTTGAGAGGTATTTTCATCAAAAATCAGAATCCATGTATAGAAATTGAACAAACAAATAATATATTATCTATTAAATATATACATATTTTTTTTTCAAACACCAAAATAAATTTTTACTTCAGCTGCCACTGCTCTACAGTAATACCCAATAGATCATGCTAAGAACAGAGTGAATAATAATACAAAACCACAATATATAATCTTATAAAAAGGATATTTCCTCTGCTAATGATAATCCCTTTTCATTTCAACCAAAACACCTAATAATCCCCATGTTAAAAATAAAATTCTCGAGAAACACTTCTCGAAATTTCCGACGCTTCAGTCTCCCCTCAAGACTACGCAAATGTGGGGAAAAAAATGAAGACTTGATTCATTACCTAACGACTATTTATTTCTCACACACAGTGGAATAGAAAAACCGAAGGAAAAGACGAATCCTCACCGTATATGACAGCCAGGCCAGTCTCGTGCAAATACCTCGCC